TATCGACAACGACATCTTCCCCCGACTAATGAATTGAATAAGTCCCAGTTTATTGTGCTTCCGAGACTTCGGTTTTAAAATTTAGCGGCTTTTTCTCCTTTCCGCGTGAAATGGAGTGTTGCACGAAGAAGACGATGGTTTGATCTTTTGTAGAATTTTGGGACAAAAGCGACATCGGCTGGGCAAAACCGTCTATTTACTGTGATGTGCTCCAATCCGCTATGGAACTCTTCATTGGGAGACTCCCACGCTCCACAATCATAGCATCGAAACCTCCAATGATGTCCTTGAAGAATGTGTGGTCTTCTCTGTAAAACTTCTCTATGGCCATGAATAACGCTTCGAGTTCTTCTTCGTCATAGTGTGATGCCGGCGCGTAAGCGACGAAGATTGTCAAAGCCGGTATTGATCCACATCTTTTTAGTCGTAAACGTCCGATTTGGGCTGTAAGTTGTTCGAATGAATCGATGTTCATGGACAAACTCGTGTTGAAAAAAACGCCGATGCCGCAGACTACTCTACTGTCGCATGTTCCGAGAAAGAGTTCTTCTTCGGAGTCATAAACGCGTTGAAGGGCTGGCGTGTTCTCGTCTCGGCCAGGCCGATGACGTCGTACCTTATATATTTTTCGCTTGCATGATCAAATCTTCTATCGAGGCCTCGGATGCAAGTGTACGTACATTGTAAGTACAGATCGTCACCATAGTTTTTTGAAATCCAGGTAGTTTCCATTGGCCCTGAAATTTTAGCAACCTCTCCGTACTTGTCCTACTCAAAGCTGCGAAATTGGGAGCTTTTTCGGGGTCAGTAGAAAGACGCCCGTTTTTTTTTTTACTGTGTTTAGCACTTTTGATACCCACGTATAGCTTGCTGAGCTCTGAACATGAGGGCTGGGTATACTCATGGGTAGCTTGCCAAGCTCTCGCAAAGTGGACATGAAGCTTATTTGTTGGAGGCGGCTCCTAAACGTCTCCCACATATTTCCCTGTCACTTGATTGCAGGCTTTTGCCCGAATTGACTCGTAGAATACAATCCTCATAAGCAAGAACGCACACACACACACGCATGCATGAATACGCCTAGCAAACACAGAAAGTATGTGCCAAATCAGCGCAACAAAAACGGGAAGTCCATTCCCTGGATCCCCCTGCTTCTTAGAGAACCAAACGTCGTTTTTGGTACGCGATTAACCTCCTATCCGCCACCTGGAGACGCGCCACACGTAGCCTCGCGACTAACCGGAACGAGATCCCTCGTATGAGGGAGATCCGTAGGCAAATATATATGGTAAAAATAAAGTCACAGAATATAACTCGTATATAATGCTGAGATATTTGCAAAACTCCGGACCGCAGGTGTATGCGGTGGCGAACGAACGCGCGCTATTGTTACCGAGGAGTAGCGCGTTCACCACCACATCATCTGGGTCCTTCGTTTTGCCTGTCTCTCAGCTAGTTCTATTGATTTTTTGCCATCAGCAATCACCCGTCTCCTGCTATTAAAAAGAAAAAGGCAGTAAATAAAAGGGTTAAGATTGTGATTATAACCAAGCCTCAGCTTAACTGGATTCAATGCCGATTTGGGCTCTCCAGATCAATCCCGTTGACGAGTGATTGCTAATGGCAAAAGAACTAACTGAGAGACGGGCAAAACGAGGAACCCGGATGGTGTGGTGGTAAAGTGCGCTACTCCCCGGTAACAATAGCGCGCGTTCGTTCCCCACCGCATACACCTGCGGTCCGGAGTTTTGCAAATATCTCATCATTATATACGAGTTATATTTCGCAACATACTCTGCCATTAAAAAGAAAAAGGCATTAAATAAAAGGGTTTAAAAATTTACAGAAGTTCATCAATACTGAGCGATGTGCGGTGCAGTCCACTTCACCTGCTCATGACATTTACTCTACATTTTACATTACCCGTCATCACTTTTACTGTGCGGATCCCAGAACTTCTTACATTCAATTCGTTTTTCTCGCACTCATTATCCACAGTGGTCTTCGAACATTTCGTGAGTTGTTTCGCATGCTCCTTCAGGTCTTGTTTATGAGTGTCATAGAATCCCGGTTGAGTTGATTCTCCTTACAATCTTGTAGACAGCCGAGCTAAGGCGTTCCCACATGGATTGGAGGAGAGCGCTGGGCAGGAAATCGAACTAGCGCATTCGCTTCCTGATCGATCACTGTACTAGTGTCCTCCTATATTATAACATACTCACTTACTTGGATACTTTTTCAGTTTTGCTGGTTTAGCCATTGTGTTCCCCTGGAGTCCCGAGGTCAACCTTGTCAGAGTTTGCCCTAGGTCGTTACCACCGCAAGCAGTCACAGTCCATGTGTATCAGAAAAAGATTTCCCACTATAAGACTAGTTTGATACCAGGGAAAACCGGACTCCGTCTCAGCTTGAGATCCTGCTCAGGGGATGGATTCCCCTGCTGCACGTCGCAGTCCAACACCCAGAAACACCTCCCAGCTACGATGAGGCGGTAAATCACTGGAAGGGCTCATAAGATTACGCGTTCAAATACTGTGTGGCACACGTGTGGCGTGGCATCAGGACATCATGGCTCCACAAGCATCAAAACCCAACCGAGCTAAAACATCGCACTATAGAGAACTTCTCCAGAGAGAAGTTCTCTACCTATCTAAACAATAGTATTTGATGTCCATACCATGACCGTTTCGCAGCCGCACACCAGTTACCGCAATACAACCTTTATAGTCTACTCGGTCAATTACGTTTAGTGTTTCAAGCACAATAGCGATTCAGGTTTGACTTTAGTCGCACAGCAACGATGGCTCATCCGAAGAAGAAGGTTTAGCTACTTGGTTTGGTTTGCTACTTCATTGCGAAACAACGAAGCCAATGACGTTTGATGTTTTAGGCAGTTAAGTACAGTCTATTTCAGTCCAGGGTCAACAATCCAGATCGGCCTCGGCCGCATCCATACGCGGCTCCCGCAGCCAATGCAAACCAGGTGCCTTCGGCGGCGGAGATATGCCATCACTCACCTTATCTCCGATAGGTAGTGCGGATAATCCGCTCCTTGCAACAACATCCCCAGTCATCCTCAATCACCCTCATTCACATCAACTCATTCTCAGTCATCCTCAGTAATCAGCAGATTATTACATCTCGTTCCTTAGCTTGTCTACGGTGCGATGTCAGTAGTGGCGGGTGTTTCCAAATGCGTTCTGTTTGCAATGCCATCGGTGGCATGTACCATTCCTCCCACAAGTACAAGGCCGCTGAGCGGCCAACTTATGCTATGTATTTTGTTGAGCTGCTATTAGCTTATCAGTTTCAGTCTATCATTAAGGTCTTTGACTCTTAGGCAGTGGTGGCACCCATCAATGCTCAACCTTCACGTTGCAGGCATAGCGTTATCCACGACCAGCCAGCCGCTTGACTGTGTTCCGTAGATCATTCGTTGTCCACTGCGCCGTCAATGCTCATGTAACTTACTGTCCTCATCGATCATGCTAAAGTGCACCTCACCGTTATAATGTTGACTCTTAGCTCACCCGAAAACACGGCTCGTGTGTATCTCTCTCCGCTCAGCATACTGCCTCCCTCAGCCGTGGACATTGCGAACGCAGCATCGTAGCCATTATTATTACCGTTATTATTGTGTTAGTGATGTAGTAATAATCAAATGCCATTATCTCGTTGTTAGTCTAGGTTCATTACTAGCCATAGCACCACATAGCTTCATTTCGCATGATTCTTTTACCACTAATTCTCCGTCCTTACTTTTGTGTTATTAATGTTGTATTTATGTATGTAAACGGTTCAATTACCCAAGCTTGAGGCTGGAAGATCAATATGGCAACCAAAAGGTTCTCGTGGCTAAAACTCTACACGGTCTGAACCGATCCACTTCGCCGCCAACTATTCGCTACACGCACATAACGAACAGTGATTGCTTCTTTAATAATAGACGATAAATTTCCTATAGCTAGAAAGGTTGAAGGGTGGGGAACATAACAGAGCTATGAAAGGTTTTCTTTATCGATCTAGAGACAGACGTGTTACTACCTGTATGTTTTACTGGAGTTCAATCACCATCCAACCGAATTTTGAGTATAATTCGATATTCTTTATACCCGCTCATTCTATACGATAAACATAAATCATATTCATTGAATAATATTTAATTATCGGTCAGAAATCAATCTTTCTATGTCTAGCATAATCGACAATCCCAGTTTTCTAATGGCTGTCATTTGCAAGGGCGGAGAGATGTAAGTAAAACTCAGAACCTCAGCTGCGTTTTGAACACGCAGTTACCCTTGCCGGGGGATCACGTGCTGCGTGCCACACCAAACGAGGCCCTTGCTTTGCCTTTCCTTCTGCTTAACTGAACTAAATGCCAATTTGTGCTCCCCAGACCATTGCCATTGATGGGTGATTATTGATTGAATCGATAGGGTTAGGAAACTGGTTGGGAGAAATGTTGGAATATCAAACAAAACTGGATAACGATCGACTCTTTATTGAAAATCACGATCATTGGAAATGGACTTCTAGTGAGTTATTGTGTGCTCGAAACATCTTTATATGAGCGATGTCTTTGTGGACCGACATTTTTTGCTGTAAAAAAACGATCCAGCAAAATAACGACCGTGCTGGCCAAAATAACCACTGGAAAGGTATATGCACAGGTTTACATCGTCCACTTAACTGATTTATTAAATCAGCGTTTTTATGCTCTCAGGGAGTTCCGATGACGATTTCCTGACCTAGGAGGGATGAAAGGAAGCATGGTTAACGAGTGTGAGCAAACGATCAGGCGTCTATCTAGAGCACGCTCACCACTGCGCTACACGTACGCTAGTGTATAATGTTGTTTTATTGCATTAATCTACTGTATTACTAGTCTTGCTTTTAACCATACAAATCAGAGCGCTTATTTATCGTTCAGAAATATCTAGAACAATAAATTTTGGAAGTACTGAAGGAAAATTTAAACCACGAACGAAGTAATCAATGTGTTAATCAAAAAAAAAATACCTTGCTACTGGATATAGTAGGAGATAGATGAACATAAGTGCTGACGGTCCCTGTGTTAAAGAAAAACAACTGACGATGGCCAGCACGGTAGTCGTCACTTTCCGTTCTTGCTCATGTGCTGCTGTCGGATTCGTGTTCACAGAATTTACCAGTAATTCCTGAAAAAACTATAGGAAGACCGTATTAGCATGGAGGACTTGCAGAAGTCGAGAAACGCAAATTTGAACGGGTGTAACAATACTTTATGAATCTAACCGAACTTTTCTTTCTCCTTAGCCGAACATTGTTCATATCATGTATTATACAACTTGAACCTATCATTCCTTACAATCTCATGTAGGTGCTAATATAGCTTACACAAATGCCCTAAATAGTTTGTCACGAAGCGCAATTGCACGTGCCTGGTAAAGTTCATATTTAACGTGTATGATGACAACCACAACGATGTTGAAATATTTGCAAAACTCCCGACCGCCGGTGACTGCGGTAGGGAACGAATGACATAGAAACAGGTGGTCCGGAGTTTTGCAAATATCTCGTCATCGTGGTGGTTGTATTTCGCGTAATACCCTGCCGTAAAAAATTGTTGTAGGGATCAAGTAAAAAAGTAAAGTAAAACATTGGTATGATGACAGTTTGGCGAGTTATTTTCTATGTAATCTCGAAAAATTCTCGCCAGACTGCTCACAGATCATTTGTCATTTTCAGGCTTTTTCTAAAGCATAGAAATTCTTGGCGTTGGTTTGCTTTCGTTTCGAATACCGGAGAGCCTAACGTCTTCATTGCCTAGATCAAAGTGCTAACGGACCTATTTTCCGTAATTCGTTACCTACGGTTTCAGATTGGTTATTAATGACCACAACATTTGTAAGAAACTAAAAGAACAAATGTCGCAAAGAACTAGGAACGGGAAATTTTTCAAACCTATTAAACAGTTTAACTTATTATTTGTTGTTCGACTCCGAACCGCAGGTGTCACTTTCGTACATGGCGTTTGTTAGATAACGAATCAAATGGGGACCCAGACAATGTATGAAGTTGTGTCATATAAATAAATATGATAAAATGAATTCCTAATTTTATCAAGTTAATACCTGCGTGTTTCTCTTTTTAAGGAGACGAATTAGCGAAATATTCAGTACCGCCACTGCAAACACAGGTAAAAGTACAGCAAAGACAGCGTTTAGAAGCACTGACAACTCAATCCATTGTCTTGTGAAAACTGCAGTGGGATTAGGTCTCGAACCCCACATAGGCATTGCGTTCGAGTAACAAACGCCTATCAACTGAGTGTCAGAGCACGTCATCCAAGTCATACAGGTATGAGAGACATGATGATAGCTGAAATTTTTTAAATAATCTCATCTTTACGACAAAAGTTTAAAAGATTGTCAGCACCACGGCATCAGTTTTCAGAGAATCCCAAAGTTAGCCTCATCGGTAAAATTCATTGAGAGTTTGTCATTCTAGTGTTCAAGTATATGCAGATATTTTATAAATAAAACTAATCTACTAACTTGTTAGCAAAATTTCTTAGAGTTTTCACGCTTTATTGAGCAATTGCAAGGTTACTTGTGATTTCTTAATAACATTATCTTGGCTAGCAATAAAGATCGATAGTTCAATTCTCATTATAAACATCGAATGATACCGATCCAGGCAAGATTAGTTCCTAGAAATTAGGTGGTTTCAAGCTTTAAAGCTGCTATCTAGTTTGCTGGATTTGGCAGATTTCATGTTTTCGTGACCGTTTACTCGGTCAAATCAGCAAATTCATTGCGTATGTCTAACTGACCGTTATAATAGGGACGAAGCTACGATAGTTGCATAGTTACAGTAGGTTACACAAGTTAGACATTAGCCACACTAATTAATGGCCAAGATAGCTCAGGGTACTGGGAAATTAAGCTGCAACGCGCTATAGAAGTACCCTTCTTAAAAATTCTTTTAAAACCGGCCCATCGCTAGCAATTTGCGAATTGCTGCTTTTTTCCCATATGGACAAAACCGCTCGATAAAAAAAGCCAAATAAATCACCTTAATCTTAACCCTTTTATTTATTGCCTTTTTCATTTTAATGGAAGGGTATGTTACGAAATATAACCCGTATATAATGCTGAGATATTTGCAAAACACCGGACCGCAGGTGTCTGCGGTGGGGAACGAACGCGCGCTATTGTCCTTTCCGGAAAGTAGCGCGTTCGCCACCACACCACGCGAGTTCTTCGTTTCGCCTGTCTCTCAGCTAGAAGGACCCGGATGGTGTGGTGGTGAAGTGCGCTACTCCCCGGAAAGGACAATAGCACGCGTTCGTTCCCCTCCGCAGACACCTGCGGTTCGGAGTTTTGCAAATATCTCAGCATTATATATAAATCACCTTGCACAAAAAAGACTGAAATCTTTCCAGTGAATACAACAAAGATCTGGTACAAATTCTGTACTACTATTAAGAAATACTGCTCGAATTCTATCACATCAAAAATACTCTCAACCAACCTTGTTAGAAGAAACGTTCCGAGCAGTATACCCATCGAAATGAAAAAGGTTTGTCGAGGCTAAAAAGTAACCTACAGTGTTTGTTGCTCTGTATACTCAATATACCTTACAAAAAAGAAAGGAAATACAAAGAAGTATGATTTTCAAATCGAAGAGAAGACACGAAGGTGACTGTGTAAAAGAATTGGATTTTTTCCTATGGGCCAAATTTCACCTTCGTTCAAACGAAGGCCTTCCATGTTTAGGAGACAACACCCTATTATTCAATTACATGACCATGAAACCGAATAGGTGTTTTTTCTTATCGAGCCTTCTGCTGCCATAACTTTTTAAAGTGGAAGAAGTTATGGTATACACCCGGGCAAATAGTCGTATAAGCCGCAAACTCCACTGAAGCAGGTAACCTTCGAACTTCTATGTTCGACTGAAAAATAACTACCAATAAAACAATTACTGTAGGTTACCAGTATGCGTGAGAACGATTACGGATCTATGCTAGTGATAAACGAAAAGGGATAAAGCTCTTGGCGTTGACCAGTCACAACACAGAGTTGTTGAGAACTCTCGGTTTCACCTTTGAGCAATTAAAAATGGGTTTCTGTCAATTTATAAAACGTAATTAAATGCTCAAATGGGAGAGATCAAGGAACATTAACTTCCAAACCGACTATCATTTTACCTCCGTAGTAATAATGAACACCTTCTTGGATTGCTAAACTACCACGAGGCTGATGTTTATGTTTATTCAGCTAACATTTCGACGTCTCTGTTTTCATTAGATTCTTGATGCAGCGCCTTTATCGCCGTAGCGAGTCGGATCTGCTTTAGTGGAACATCGTTTGAATAAAACGTCCTCATCCGGCGATGTTCTTTTATAGAGGACGATTGATGTTAATATGACTATTCGTTGGTAATATTCTGTTTTACAACGGTCAATCCATCCTTCGGCAGCCAGTATTATCTAAGATAGCGAATAGCAAAACAATAATCGTCCTGCATAAAAGAACGTTTCCGGGTGAGATTGCCTCATTCGAGGTGCACTACACTGAATAAGATCGGTCCCGGCGACGACGAAGACGCCACATCGAGAAGACGAAGAACTGCCGACTCGAGCATCGGCTCTGATGAAGATGAAGACGTCGAAGCGTGAGCCAAACAAACATCTATGTCATCATGTACAAGAAGCTGTTCATCAAGGGACAGTTGATTTCAAGAACGATAACGGCTGCCAAAGCAGAGCGCGAACAATTTAAATTACTCAGATAGGCAAACCAATGGCAAAACATTGGGAAACAAGTCACAACTTTCAAGCTTATTATGATTAGTGACAGGTCACTTCAATGGCAGCAGGCATTTTGATAAGGGATTATTGAACTACATCCAACCAGTAATGGTTGATATTTTGGAGCTTTTAACCATAATCAGTGGCATTGGTCTGAGTAGCTCTGTGACGTGATGTATTTTCTAATTTACAATACTCTTTATTCTACAAGTGATTATTAACAACAGATATGCCTCCATTACAAACGCATATCATGCAAGCTACAAAACAATCCTGAGCGCTTCTCTGAAGAGCCTTTTTGCTCATCATATATGGAAGGTGAAGAAAGGGTTTCAAGAAAATCGAATAACATGTGCAAGACTAAAATGTCAAATGGGTAGGCTGAATCCACAGATACAATGAGCGAAATACAATATTAAGGAACAAATACCGTTGATAGGGCGTGTGTGGTGCAGTGGTTGGAGGCGCCACTGCAACACACACACGTGGGATCTATCTCCGCGCCCATGGCCCACCAAGCCTTCCATCCTTCCGGGGTCGGCAAATTGGTGCCAGACTTGTCTAAGAGGACACAGCACTAGCTTGATACATCGACAAGCCACCGCGAGTCATTGTAAAAGTCGGATATGCATTCGATCACATCCAACGATACTTAATAAAGTCGAATGCATGGCGCATTTCTCAGGGACTAGTCAACGCCGAAAGATTTATTCTTTATTTTTTTAATACTGCTAAAAATCAAAGAATCGCAGCGGTCTCCTATGAGCTGCAGGATCGTGTTACGAAGCCTGTTGTACGTTTTCGTACACAACAAACACATCGCTGGATCGTATTGTTTTTATGATGGGATAGAAATTGATCCTACATGACCATCGCTAATGTTTATTTCAGTGAATAATCGAAAGAATTTTTCAAAGTCAAAAATTTCGAATGAATTATAATTATAATAACTACTCTGCTATAGTAAGATGATATAATCCAATCAAACGTCCTCAATCCTTTCAAAAAGATAACTGCAGGAACGTACTGCCACCAAGTCAACGAAATACGTCAGAAAATGCACTGGATCTATCCAGACATGACGAGCAGATAAATTCCAACCCTGTTGTATGAAAAGCTCGACAACACGTTGCACAAGTAACACTGCAGAAGTTGAACGAGTTGAGCTACGAAACCCTGCCTAATCCGTCTTAAACTATTTGTATTAGATATCCTACAAGCCACTTTCTTACAAATATCTTGATAATTACTACCTCAGAAAATCGTCATTAACTAAACTGCTAAATGGCTTGCTGCTACAGTTTTCGTCAGCTCTGAAACCTTAGAATTCTGGTTGCTGGTATAAAACACCTTGTGTCTTGTTGGCAAAACATGTAAATTTCACCAGTCTTGATTTTGGCAGGTGTAGTTCTATCTGACCTAAGCTTTTCGAGAGAGACGAAGATCGATGAGGACATAGGTTTTGTCGTTATTTATCAGTTTACGTATTCTTTGAAGAAGAGCCTCCAAGTGGTTTTTCATAACAATGGATTAAAAGTAAGAAATCTAGAAATTGGATATGCACGTAAGCCAATGGTCATCAAATGTTTAAGACAAAACACTTACGTTGTAGACATCTAATGATCGAAAAGGAAACTTGACAATCAGTAAACGTTCTACGGAAACAGCGAGCACAAACCTTAAAATACACCGTATCGATTAAAAATCTGACCTACATTACCATAAATAATTTTCCAGTTCTCATGGTTATCAAACAATAAAATAGTACCGTATTTCATCTTTACGAACTCATTTGTTATTTACACAATTGATCACACAGCAGGTAAACTATTTGAGCAGTTCCATCCATCAAAAAACCAATCAATTTTTTTGATGTTTTTCTTCGATAAGCAGACACGAGGTTGTTAATATAGAATTTATTAGAACACAATTGCTGACGTTTCGGCGGTTTCGCCTTCTTCAGAGCCGTTTATTTGTTGTAAGTATTTAAGTTAGTTGGTGGATAGCCGCCGCACAGAGTAATACA